ATTTTCCCACTAATATTTGATGTTAAGGGAAGGCACATGAACTCATGATGCAGGTAATCTCTGAATTTAAGCAAGTGTTTTGTACATCCAATAGTTATTTAAGGGCATGTCTCATACAAACACCATGAGCAGGACCTGGACATTTCACTTTAACCTGTACTAAGCCCTCAAAGATTTCTTATTTTGGTATCAGGAAATTTAGGGCAAAATGAGAAATTTCTAAAGAGAGGTAGAGATAAGGGAACATGGAATCGAATTGCTGTTTTGAAAGGACACAGTAAAGAAGAACAAAGAAAATGAGTGATCAATCCGGAGTGGAGTATGAGGGTTCTATACGTGATCTATGGAGTAGAGTATGAGGGTTCTATACATGATCTTCGGTGTTTTCCAAATTTGCAAACCTGCTTGCCTTCTGACTCATTTTAAGAGCTGCACAGGGAATCAATAGAAGCATCTTATAAAAAAGATTTAATTATACTTTTTATAGAAATATAATTAACATACAGTGTTACATTAATTTTAGATGTATAATGTAATGAGTCACAAATTCTGTATATTACTCAGCGTTCATCATGGTGAGTGTACTCTTAACTCCCTTTGCCCATTTCACCCATCCAGTCACCTACCTCCCTTCTGGCAACCACTGGTTTGTTCTCTGTATTTAAGTTTTTTTTTTTTTTAAAGATTTTATTTATTTATTCATGAGAGACAGAGACAGGGAGAGAGGCAGAGACACAGGCAGAGGGAGAAGCAGGGTCCATGCAGGGAGCCTGACATGGAACTCGATCCGGGGTCTCCAGGATCATGCCCTGGGCCGAAGGCAGGCGCCAAACCACTGAGCCACCTGGGCTGCCCTCTGTATTTAAGTCTTTTTGTTTGTTTGTCTCTTTGTTCTGTTTTTAAGTTCCACATATGAGTGCAATCACATGGTACTTATCTTTCTCTGTCTGATTTATCTCATTTAAGATTTTACCCTCTAGGTTCCTTCTTATTTTTGCAAATGGCAAGATCTCATTCTTTTTATGGCTGAGTACAATTCTACTGTGTATATATACACCACGTTTTCTTTATTCACTCATATATTGACGGACACTTGGATTGCTCCCTTATTTTGTCTATTGTAAATAATGCTGCTGTAAAACCCATACAGATACATATATCTTTTCAAATTAGTGTTTTTGTTTACTTTGGATAAGTACTCACTAGTATAACTACTGGATCGTATGGTAATTCTATTATTATTATTATTTTTTCCCCAAAGGCGGCACACAAATGGCCAACAGACATGTGAAAAGACGTTCAACATCACTCATCATCAGGGAAATGCAAATCAAAAGCACGATGAGATATCACTTCACACCTGTAAGAATGGTTAGAATAAAAAAAAAAAAAACAAGAAGTAACAAGTGTTGGTGAGGATGTGGAGAAATAGGAACCCTCATGCTCCATTGGTGGGAATGCAAATTGGTGCAGCCACTATGGAAAACAGTACAGAGGTCCCTCAAAACATACATCTTAATCACACTTCACATATTTCTCAGTTTGATCTTTTTTCTGTTGCTTTTAGAGTGGCCCCAAGTGATATTTGGCTCCTCTTTCAAAGTTGCCCCCCCCCAATCCATCACACCTTCTCCTGACCTCTAATAAAACACAAGATAAATATTTTCTCCCTAAGGAGATACAAAAGTATGTCCTACATGTTTGAGCAACAGTCTTCTTAATCTTCATTTTAGTCTCTTGCTGGTTGCACTGATCTCTCCGACTTCTAACCATAGGTCAGTCGTAGAATTCATCCCTGAGCCTTGTCTCTATGTGCTCACACTACCTAGAAGTCCCCAAGTTTCGGCTTTAAATGCATTCCACACCCAGACAACTCTCAAGCTTTTGTCTCTAGCTAGGACTGCCCCCTCTAAATCCCAGAGTTATCCACCTGCACAGGAGACTCTTCTACTTGGGTGTCCAACTGACTCTTAAAACTTAATGTATCTAATGCTGTGAACACCTGATTTTCTTTCCCAGACCTGCTTCTGCCTCTGTCTTCCCTGTTGGTGGACACTCGCCCGTTAGAGTCTAAGCCAAGTATTATGTCTTCTTACTCCCCACATTTAATCTGCTTGCAAATCCTTTTGGCTCTATCTTCCAAATATATTGAGATTCCAACACTTCTCGCTATCTTTGTTCAAGTCACCGTCATTTCTCACCCAGATTAGCTCAATACCCCTCTAGCAGGTCACCCTGCTTGGTTATTTTTTCAGGTTTCTGATCACCTATAATTTTATCAATTGGGCAGCCCGGGTGGCTGAGCAGTTTAGTGCCACCTTCAGCCCAGGGCATGATCCTGGAGACCCAGGATCGAGTCCCACATTGGGCTCCCTGCATGGAGCCTGCTTCTCCCTCTGCCTGTGTTTCTGACTCTCTCTCTCTCTCTCTCTCTCTCTCTCTCTCTCTCTCTCTCCTGTGTGTGTGTGTGTCTCCAATGAATAAATAAATAAAATCTTAAAAAAAATCTTATCAATGAAGTCTTCCCAAACAAATCTATTTAAAATAGCATCCCAGCAATCCCTAATCCCATTCCCTGTTCTATAAACTACACATTTAGACAAACATAACAGCATACTTCTTTGGATATCTCCCTCTCCCTTAGAGCTCAGTGTGAGCTTCAAAAAGCAGAGATTTTTGTCTGTTCATTCTCTCTTCTTTTTTTTTAATTTCTTTTTTTTATAAATTTATTTTTTATTGGTGTTCAATTTGCCAACATACAGAATAACACCCAGTGCTCATCCCATCACGTGCCCACCTCAGTGCCCATCACCCAGTCACCCCACCCCCCGCCCACCTCTCCTTCCACCACCCCTAGTTCATTTCCCAGAGTTAGGAGTCTTTCATGTTCTGTCTCCCTTTCTATCTAGATCTGAGATTATTGCCCAATACATGACAAAGGATTAAAGTATTTTTAGAGATATAAATGAATGAAAATATGTCTAGGATACTTGCAAAGTCTTCTTTGTGATATATAATATTCATCTGACATTAAATTGATACAGTTAAGGAATCAGTCATGTTCCTTGTATTTAAAAATATTTTAAGAGTCAGAAGATCCTCAAAAAACAGGAAATCCTTGTATATGAAAATTTTCAGGGCCAACAGATACCTCCTGAAGAGGCTTAATTAAAGGGTACCTATTCAAGTTGATCTGTGGCCTTCAGCAGTACAATTTAAACACACTTGTAAACCTCTAGTGAAATATCCCTGGACTCGGTATCTGTAGTCTGGGAATATCATTGTGTCTTTGTGACACACCAGTGATGTGACAATTGGGCAAGTTGCTTGGTCCACTTTGAGCTTAAGCTGTAAATTGATGATGGTAGTAATAATAAGGAGCTCAAGTGATATCCGTGAGTATCAGCTGAGATTTCAGACACATTTTGTAAAATCTTAATCATGTTACGAGTATAAGAAACTTGGAAAAATGTTACAGCTATAAGGAGGAGGACTCTGTTCTCAGGGTAAGAAAAAAACATAAAAGTTATTAAGTTCAATTCCATAATTCTCTTACCACAGAATTTTTCCTTACTGTCAGATTTATTCAAAACTTGATTGAAGGGATTGTTCTTGCCTGTTTGAGGGAATCCTTGGCAGCCTGAAAATAATGTGAGGACATTCAGATCCCAAACATTATTCCAATTCTCTAAATGGGCTTGGCTTTTCAGCTATGAATCATATGAAGGCTGTTCTCCTCTTCTTCTGGCCAGGCTTATTCTTCCACTGTTTTTAAAAATTAATCTGGCAAATGCCCAACAGGTGGCTAAAGCAAAACACGTATATGGTGGAATGAAGTTTCCAGGATACTGGTATTGATCTAGGCCTTAGGTCTGCTTTGGGACATTAGTGTGAATATCCACACTGACCAGGTGCTTCGCTGTCATCATTGTCACCATCCCCTATCCATCACTGGTTATCATCTTAGTGCCAAGAATTTGAGTCAGTAGTCAATGCACCCTATTCCTTTTATACTGTGTCAAAGCTCTGTGAGGTAAGCATTATTATACAGGAAGAGATTGGAACTTAGGAGGGTAACATTATTTTTCAATAAGGAGTTAACAGAATCAGATGATAGATTCAAATCTGACTTCAAAGCTCATGACTTTTGTTATCACACAAGTCTCTTATTTTTATTTATTTATTTTTCACAAGTCTCTTCTAATAACCAAACTCCTTCTCCATTTTATAAGCTCACATTGATACTAGAATTCTCCTGATCTCCTGAGGGCAGAGCGTCTCAACAAAGGGATTTGGGGGGTGGATCCGTGGGTGGCTCAGTGGTTTAGCGCTGCCTTCAGCCCAGGCCATGATCCTGGGGACCCGGAATCGAGTCCCACATCCCACATCAGGCTCTGCATGGAGCCTCTTCTCCCTCTGCCTGTGTCTCTGCCCCCCCCCCTATCTCTCATGAATAAATAGGTAAAATCTTAAAAAAAATTATAAAAAAAAAGGGATGGGAGGATGAGGGCAAAGGAAAAAAAAGATAGAAACTAACAAATCTTAATATGAAGATTAAGACTTCGAAGAAGAGGTATTTCTTACATTCTTATCACAAAATTTTCCTTGGACGTTGGCATACTCTTGCCTGGTCTTGTCTAATTTTGTTAAGGCTTTGGCAGATGAGTACGATCATTGCCCTAGCCTCCTGGGGTTAGAGTTTAGTTGGAGTATTGCTTCTGAATTCTTGTTACTATTGACTCTTAATGTGTCTACCTAATGTATTATCTAAACATAAAAAGTATCCTCAGATCCCTAAATCCTCAATAAATAGTTTTGACGGATATATCCTTTTTGTTTCTTTCAGCCTCTTGGTAAAACCCTACTGGGCTATTTGCTCCTTTTACACATGCAGTTCAGCACCGAATTAAAAGAATGTGAAGACTATATATATCATGGCCCAGCTTCTAGCTCGCCTCTGGCCTTGCTGGTTCTTATTAATGATTCATTTCTTTTGACAGGAGCGGCAACATTTCAGGACTTCTTGGGTGGAAGAAAGTTGGCAGAGAGAAAGTCCACGGTGAGTAGTTAAACATTATATGAATTAATAACCCCCATCAATAGTTTAATGGATGAAATGCATTGATTGCTTTGAGAATTATGCTGAGGTCTACAGTAATAAGCAGAAATGTCTGATTTGACATCTTTTTTTTTTTATATGTCTGCAACGTAATCTACTACCAATTACACAACAACCCCACCGAAGGAGTGCTGAGTGGTCCCACTACAGTAGTAACATGTTATAAAAGCTCGGGTTTCAGGACAATTAGCTTCTGGCTACAGTTTATTACCCCATTTGAGATTTAAAACATTTTTTTCCATTGCATTCCAACAATGCTTATGTGTCTGGGGCTAACACTTTAAAACAATAATGAAATGGCAAATATCTGTCTGGCTGGGGTTTGCTCAAGAAGGGTGTGTATTGGCATTAAAAAAAAATCAAGGCAGAGCAAACAAAACAAAAGCAACTTCCTTAATTTCTCAAAGTGGCCAGGATTATAATGTTTACCAAGAAAAAAACATGCCTTTCATTTATAGAAGATTTAAGAAATGTTTTGGAGACCATGATCATTCCTGCTTATTTAAAGGCAATTTCCACATGATGAAAAAGTAGTCCACTGATAATTCATATCCATGCATATATTTGGTGGTCATCACCAGATTTCTGGTGTAATATATATGAATCTCTCTTTGAATTGGCTGACATTACAAAAAATGGCAATCAGGAAATTTTCAGATGATGATGATGATGATGATGATGATAACAATAGTGGACCTTATTGAGAGTCTGTCCTGTGGCCAGGTAGTGTGCTAAAACTATTGTGATGATCTTAATTATCCTAAGTATCTCTTCAGTTAGGTACTGCTATTTTCCCCATTTTACAGACGAGGGGATTGAGGCTTATGGAATCCAGTAATTGAAGGTAAAACCTAAAATGGGCTAACAATAGTGAGTCTGTAGACTGGGGCTTTTGAAAAGTAATCTAGGGCTTGAATCTCTATGCAGTACTACCTGATGATGGTGGTGGTGGTGGAGGTTGTGATGAAGATGACAAAGGCCAAGAGTAAGAGACCTGAGGGATCTTCTTGTCAATCTTTTACATGTTTTATTAAGTAACTCTTTGCAGGATGCTTAGGTAACTCAGTGGTTGAGTGTCTGCCTTCAGCTCAGGGCATGATCCTGGGGTCCTGGGATCAAGTCCCATATCAGGGTCCCCACAGGGAGCCTACTTCTCCCTCTGCCTGTGTCTCTGCCTGTCTCTCTGTGTCTCTCATGAATAAATAAATAAAATCTAAATAAATAAATAAATAAATAAATAAATAAATAACTCTTTCCTCCAAAAATTTGAGCCATTTTCTCTCCTGTTTCCTTTCTCTTATGTCCACTTGAATTATCTTGTCCCAACCTACTGTTTTTCCCTCCTATTGTTCACACTGTGTGATCTGATACTTCCTGTGGTTCTTAAGGAGCTGAGTTGGGTGGGATGAAATGGGGATGTGACCCCTATTTCAGTAATTTATAGCCCTCCATGTTTAGTGAAGGATGATGGTGTCATTGAGATTGGAATCCAAGAGCTTACTTACCTATCACCAATCTACAATATTCATTTTTTGTTGCCTTTCTCACCTCAGGATTTTTAAACTTCTAATGTTGGATGTAATCAAGACTATAGAGCAACCCACGGGTCTGATGTTTCTCCATCTAACGCTGTACCGATATCATTAAAATCATACCTTTTTTATTCTTTGGAATAAAGAATGTTTCCTGTGAATTGAAATATTAATATTTAGAAAATTACAAAGAAAATCTATGCAAAAATGAACCAGGCACAGTAAATAAAACAAGTGGATTAGTAAGTAAACAATAATACTGTGTTGACCTAAAGCATATAGTGCATTACTATCTCCTGATAGCCACTTAGGTCAGGGTATTTCTCACCAAGGTGTGTTGGTCCGCAATGCATTAGGTACAAGGAGGTGCATCTCCTTCAAACAGAGGGATTCTCCTAGTTCTTATTCTCCTGAGGCTCTTCATAGCTCCTGGCATGTTGGCTTCCCACTTGGGAGTGACCGGAGAAAGAACTCCTTATTTCTCTCCATTTATGCAGTACTATTGCCCTCTGCTGAGGTCAGCATTGGTTCTATTCTTGAAGCTTTTTTTGTACAGATCCATCATTTCCATGATGTTAGATGAGCTGACATTGGTGTCTCCTGCCTAGAATTCCACTCCCTATCTCATCTATTTGGAAAATGCCTACTTATTCTTCAGAGGCTGCTTCAATTTCATCCTTCCCTTCCCTTCCTTTCCTTTTTTTTTTTCCTTTTTCCCCCAGGTTGAATCACTTTCTCATTTGTGTTGCCCTAAGTCTGTGTGTATCACATTGCACTATAAATACTTGTTTTTCTCTACTATGAGACTGTACTTGAGGGAGATTCTGGCTTATTCATTCTTTTTTTTGTATCTGCAGCACCCAGCAGAATGTAAGGTCTGTATTAGGTTTAGGATAAATGTTTCTTGTCCTCCACTGAGATCTAAGTCTCTGACTATGTGCTCCTTCATTCAAAGTTATTAAATATTATAACATTTATAATTTGCATACAACACAGTATTGATCTAGGAGCCATAACAGTGGATTATCTATCATTGTTTTGTAACTCTTGGATATCAATTTTATCATCTGTCAACTAGAGGAATTGATAGATTTCATTTGTTTTTCATTCATTCATTAGTTTATTCATTAATTCATTCAAGATAAATTGATCAAGAGCCTGCTTTGCCTTGGACATTGGACTAGGCAACTTCTTAAGTATAAGATGCCACTTTTCTTGTTTTAGCTTAAAATACTACATATTTCAGTTGGAATATAAAAGAAGTTTGAATCTGTGTAGATAGTAAATTTAGCAATGCTACTTTTATAAGCTGTGCTACTTAAAATACAAATAGACACTGTTTTGAATATAAGTCAAACCAAGATAGTAACACTTTGTTTCTGAATCTCATTAATGCTTCAAACCTACTATTTGTATCAACTAATCTTAAAATATCATTTCCTTGGGTAATCACAGAGTAGGATTTCTGGGTTTTATCATAATGTTTGTTTTACCTTTTTAAATTTACCAGAATATTGACTTAATGTATATTTTTTATATTTAAGCAGTTGTAGAAAGTCTTTGGGTTGAAGATCTATATGTTTGTTCAACAGATGTTTACTGAGTGTCTAATGTGCCTACTGTTAAAATATATGCCTAGGAAAGAAGATCAATGAAAGGGACCTCTGTTTTTGAGAAGTTTGTAGATCTGAGGAGAAACATAGATGTAAACATATGATGATGGAAGAATATTGAAGTTGTAGCTGAGAGGAAGAAATGTGCTCAGGTTTGGTTGAGGGTAGGGTGGGCACAACAGACTTGTCAGAAAAAAGTCTTCATAGACTTTCCTGGGTTCTGGTCTTGATTCTTCATATCAATAGATGGTAGTTGAGGTAAATGCCAAGATGTATATATGCCCCCAGGCTGACAATGCTGGGAGGAGGGCGAACAGTCCAAGAACAGGAAGCAGGATGAATAGTTGAAGCAGATAAATGTGCAGTAATATGTCACATTTAGGCAACTAGGTAATATGTCATCATGGTTAGAGAGAAAGAGACAAGCTGGGCTGCAGGGATGCCTAAGGCTGTAGAGTAAACATGGGCAGGACTTGGTAGTTTTTTGGCTAAGATGCAAGAACATCGACTTTACCCTGTACATAGAGGGAAATCCAGGAGGGTCTTATGCAGGAGAGGAAGGGGATCATTTTCAAAAACTACTAGAAACGTAAATGTGATGAAAAAATTTTGTGAAATTTTAAAATCTGAATTTGGAAACTTAGACATACTTGTGTTTTCTTCTATGAGCATTTTCACTAAGTTATTTCTTTTCAATGAATGGGAATTATTTATAATACTCAAATGAGATCACACTGTGGAGATGAAGTTGTGAATGGGATCTTTCATTCTATCAAAATCTTTTTACATACCTAGGATTAGGCCTTTATTAAATTACTAAATTCTACTTTTACCTCTGGAGAAATAGCAATCCAGTATTGAAAGATCACCTCTTAATGGAGGTTAAAATAAAGGCTTGGGTTTTGCTCCTCAGACTTCAGTTTATGGATATGAGGAGCGAAAAGAAAACAGAGAAACAAAACGTAGATTTAGACATTTTTAGTGAGGAAAATGAATATTGATTAGCTATATTAGCTTTTTTTTAAAAAAGATTTATTTATTTATGAGAGAGAGAGAGAGAGAGAGAGAGAGAGAGAGAAACTGAGACACAGGAGGAGGGAGAAGCAGGCTCCATGCTGGGAGCCAGACGTGGGACTCGATCCCGAGACTCCAGGATCGTGCCCTGGGCCAAAGGCAGTCGCTAAACCGCTGAGCCACCGAGGGATCCCCAGCTATGTTAGTTTTAAGTGAAAATATATCAATTGCTGATTTTTTAAATGCCAAAACCACAGCAGTTGCTGTAGTACAAACTAGCTTTTGCCTAGCAATTATTCAAGGTTTTTGATAAATCAGTAATAAATAGGAAACACCAGAACTGAGACCTTCTGAACTAACAGCATCAGATCTGTTGACCATTTGTTGAGAGATTTTATATCATAAAAATACTTGGAAAAAATTTTAAACTTTCTTCAAGAGAAGAAACATAAATTTCATCATGTTGCCTTTCATTCGAACAATGCAGTGACTTCCTAATTGATTTGTGATCTCAAATCCGTCCTTATTCTAATCTACCTATGCTGTGTTAGCTACAGAGCTCATCAATATGAAATCAAATAAACCTCATTTTTAATCTTGGTTCTGCAAGTTTCACTATATGAGTCTCTGTTTTGTTAGTTGTAAGACTGAAATAACACCTATTTCAAAAGAATGGGAGATATTATAAGGTTTAAATGGAGATTCTTAGGTCAAGGGTCTTGTGCTCTGTAGGACTGGGACACATTTATTGAGTAAAACAATGGCACACTTTGGGTAATGC